AACGCGGCCTGCGGAAGCCATGGGTTTGTCTGCGTCCTCCCCGGCTGCTGCGGGTCCGTCACCGAATGCGTCCAAGGAACATCAGGCGGCATCTCCACCTTCGGAATGTCCTATGCATCAGGAAAAGATGAGCGGTAATTGGTCTTGAAACTTAAATAAACTCTTTACCCAGAAAAATGGGTTGAAAAATAAATATTTTGGGGGGGGGGGGGAACCAAAAACTTCTGCAAAAAAAAATTTTGAGTTTTTTCCTTTAGCAAAAGCTCTCAAGTAACTTCCCATGAAAAGGAGTCAGTTGTTCACCAGAACAGCGCGTGAGCTGCTTTGCCCGTAGAGACAGGAGGTGCTCGCTGTAGAACCTGCGGGTCGCTCCTGATTGCCGCGTTTCGCAGGGCTCCTGCAGGTCTGTTCCCATCGGGGTACGGCCGCAGAGGGTCAGGGAGGCGCGGGGGCCCCGACTAAAGGTGGTGACTGGGAGCAGGGGGTTGTCGCTGGAGAGGGCAGCAGAAGGGTGCAGTAAGGTGAATGCCTGGAGAAGGAGGACAGCGGCTCTTCCATCGACACGATCAGCACGTGCTGGATTAACGTTGTTGTGGAAGTCTTTAAGCACAGGCAGGTCAGCGTAAGGGCCGGCATGGGGGGGGGGAGAGGGTTCAAGGAGTGAGTTTTTTGTTCAAGGACTGCGTAAGAAGCTCAGATCTTACCGTGGTGCTGGGTCCTAAAATGCAGGAAAGGGAACAGGTAAAACTGTTGCAAAGCTCAGAGGAAAAAGCGAAATAGTTTGTATTTACGTGAGCGTTCAATGAACTGTTTCCCGCTTCCTGTCGTGTCTTAGAGTTTTCATTTTGCAGTAAAAAGCTATACTATTTTTTCCTGTGTTTCAGGTTGCCCCATGCACATGAAGGCTCCTGAGAACGCAGACGATGTTCCTGCGCATCAAGAAAGAGCGTATGAATTTGTAGCATGTCCGGTGAAGTCTGGTGCATCTCAAGTGAAAGATGACATCGATCCTAGCAATATGGTAACTTTGGCTTATTTCAGCTGTTTTCTTCAGTCTCCTTTCTTCTGAAATACTCTCCCCAAAATGTAAATAGTGATACTGTCTCAGGTGGCAACTCTGGCAAATAATGTTATTTTGTAGTTTTTAACACTGCTTTTTCTCATTTTGTGTGCAAATACCTGTATGAAACCAGGTTACATCTTATTTAACATTCTCCTCTTTGCGTTTCCATCTTTCTGATAAGAGGTGGTTTTCCAGTTTGTGACTATCTTTTGCTGCCTGTTTCTATTTGTTAGTTACAGCCATGGTTTTTATGCCGTGTTGGTGGGTTTTAGGCTCGGTGTAATAGCAGTATGGGTAAGTTCTGATTCAGGTCTCGCCAAGATTTCCTCTGATTTTCAAAAAGCACTGCTCTTCTGAAAGTTGAAGTTTAGGCAAAAGGGTTCCTTTAGTCTTCGGATGACAAACTTGTGCAGAGTTCTACTGCGAAAGAGAAAGCTAATTTTAGTGGGCTTACATAAAGGCTGAACTACTTGACTTTTGTAGCAGCTGACTGCTGATGCTTTGATTTTTCTCAAACACCATAACATAAAAAAATGTTCGTACTCTAGCTTTTTGTTGATTCTCCTTGTTTTCTAGATGCCGCCTCCTAATCAGCAGCCATCCCCAGATCAACCGTTTCCATTGTCAACTGTTAGAGAAGAATCTTCCATTCCTAGAGCGCATTCTGACAAGAAATGGGTCTACCCTTCCGAGCAAATGTTCTGGAATGCTATGCTAAGAAAAGGGTAAATACACTGTGAATTGTCAGATGGAGTCGGTGAGCATGAAATTCATGAACTAATACCATTAGTTACTGTTCATCGGTATTATTCAAGAGTTTGTGGACTCTAAGCGGCAAATAATTAACGAGCTCTTTTACAAATTACTGGGTTTGTAAGCAGCTTTGTTTTAAAGGATGAGCTGGTCTCAAAGGCCACGCCTCCTCTAGTCACCAGCAAGATGGTAGGGAGTGTCAGGCAACTGCCGCTAGCTCAGAAAACTTTCTTACAAGTCAGTGCACAGACAAACTTTGCACGATTGCCAGGTTTCAAACTCAGTCGGCTTCATGCTAATCCTATCAACCGATAGTAAAAGTTGTGCAATTGTGAGAACATCTAACTTGACTTTGCAAAATTGCTAAAAATGGAAAAATTGTTTGACAAGTGGATGTTTTCAGCCTTTACAAAAATTCAGTGTAGACAAGATCCCACTGAATGATGTCTCCTGTGGCCTAAAAAACCTTCTGTCTCTTTGTTCTGCATTATCGATACTGTTCCGAAGACAGTATGTCATAAGCAGTCTGTATTGAACGCACAAGTTTTGATCCTGTAAACGCTTACACGTGTTCAATGTTATGCCCGTTGAAAAGGAAGCACGTGCGTGGTCATCGTGCAGAGTCACAGATGAAAGGCATTTCTAAGTGTACGCAAAATGTCCTGAATACAGGACTTCTGTGCGGTAGGAAAGCGAGTGGGATTTTTCTTAGGGATTTTTACGAATGCCGTGGATGTGCTGGTGCTTGCACATTCTTGATAACTTCCTGATCCAGTTAAGCTGTTAATTTAGCTAACTAGAATTTGTGGATCTCTACGATGGTAACTTCGATAACTACGCTTTTACACAGAAAATGAAGCAGTTCTCGAGATGCTGAAGCAGATGGAGCCAGAAGTTTCCATACTTGCTTTGTGTCTTTGCATAAAACCTTAAATCTCAATTCAAAAGCCCAGCAGATAAACCGAGGAAGGTGGAGTAGTTATGCTGTAATGCTGTTAAACTGTTTTCAAATTCTTATGTTTTAGGTGGAGGTGGAAAGATGATGACATAACGGGTGAAGACATGACCAACATTATTAAGATTCACAACCAAAATAACGAGCAAGCCTGGAAGGAGATTTTGAAGTGGGAAGCTCTTCATGCTGTGTACGTACATACGAAATGAAAAGCAGCTCCTTTGGTTTAGCTCTTGCTTTTGTAATTCTTTGAAAGTGAAAGAGTAGAATGTCTCTTTAGTTTTGGCAGGAATGTTCTTGTGCTGCTACGTCTCAAAAGTTACAGTCTTGCAGGAGCCTGCGTTTTGATTAATATGGAGGAAGATTATCCAGAAGAGCTTAACTAGAACTGAATAATTATTATGTTGATAAAACTGATGAGCATTTTGGTGGTGTGTGTATAATGTAGATTTAGAGAAATCGACTTCTTATTGTACCTATCTGGGAATTATTTAATTGAGATCTTTGTGTTACGAAAAAGATATGAGATGTAAACTTAGATTAAAAGCCACTGGTGTAAAGCAAACTGTCACTTTTCCAGGTTAGTATAGTCCCTGTTCCTGGGAGAGGCAGAGTAGTCAAGCGTTCTGCATGTAGAAATTGTTCTCTGCGATTTCATGATCTTTGTTACACAGCAGTTGGGATTATGGTTTTCTGTTCTTTAATGGTTTTCTGTTCTCTAATCTGTGCAATCTGTGGATTAGATTTGCTGAGAACTGCTCTGTTGATAAGTCAGAACAACAGTGTGGAGCATAGCAAAGGTACTTTCTCAGACCAGCAGTAAGTGCTGTCAGAAACTGTGGGACTTTTCAAACCGTTTAAAAAAATCAAAACAAAACCAAAAAACCAACAGCTGGTTTAGATCACTTGTAATTAATTTTTTACTGTTGCTCTTTCTCTTGTTTGGTTTTTCTGTTACTAAACCAAATGACCGTAGTGGTTTACACACATAAAATAAGACTGTTTTAAAAGGTAAAAACTATTTTCGTTTTTAATTGTGTGCACAGGGAATGTCCGTGTGGACCATCGCTGATGCGGTTTGGAGGCAAAGCGAAGGAGTATTCACCAAGAGCCAGAATCCGGTCATGGATGGGGTACGTGGGCAGGGCAGAAGGTCTTCCAGTGAGGTGGGAGGGTAGGGAGATGTGTCTGAAAACGTGGTGTAGAACGAATTTTAAGATACTTCAGAACTGGAATTGCAAGTTATAATTACCAGAAGTGCTAGTGGGGATCATATGCCAGTATCTGGATAAATAAATCTTCTTAAATAGGACTTCCGCTCCCTCTCCCAGGTTCATAATATCCATTAAAATATCTACCTGGTCTATCACCTGTCTTTCCAGATACGAACTTCCCTTTGACAGACACGATTGGATTGTTGACCGATGCGGAAAAGAAGTGCGATACGTTATCGATTACTATGATGGTGGAGCAGTAGATAAGAACTACCAGTTCACTATCCTGGATGTTCGCCCTGCGTTTGACTCTCTCTCGGCTGTGTGGGACAGAATGAAGGTAGCTTGGTGGCGGTGGACTTCGTAACTACTACGGTGTGTAGTCGAAAAGTAAACCACTTTCCTCCTAGACTAAGGAGGAGCGAATGCTAGGACTTGAACTAGAAGTTCGCTGCAACTGTCATTATTTTCATCATCACCACTGTTCTTTGGGGGCGGGAAGGGAGGATGGGGAAATCCGTTGTTAGGTACACCCATGCTTTATGGTGTTTTGAATGAAATAATAAAGTTATAGTAGCAAAAACACGCATCTTAAATTTTCTTCAGAGCTGGGAAATCTTCTCTGGCTTTGTCACAGGTTCTGTGTAAGCTTGCCGCCTTTTCGTTTCACGACTCCAACACTGCACCAAATACGTTTGGTTTCTGATTCTGACGGGAGTTTTGAGTATTAAATAGCGAAAACTGGAAATTTCATAAACGATTTCACGTAGTTACAGTATTTGGATACTTAGATGATGAATAAAGGGTAAAAGATACCGGACTGCTTCAAACTGCATGTGTTGTTAACTATATAAAACCGTGTATTTGTTTTCACGTGGGCACTTTACCTGTTCAAATACAGAAAACTTTAGTCAAGTTTATTCTGTTAAAGGGAGTGTAGTGTAGTATGAGTATTTTTAAAGGTACGTTAAGCTGAAAAGGAGAATGTGCTCATGCCTTAATCTGCAATTTATCATTGAACAGAAGAACATCTGTTAGAAGCAGGAAATGAGCATCAGTTACTTTTAAAACAACATTTCAAAAAGGAGATAAAATTGATATTAATGGCTATTTATTTGAGTATTTAAAAGGTTTGTTTTCTGAGGTAAGAAAACTATTCTTTTACTATTTTCCTGTCTTTAATGCGCATCTCAGGTAATGCATTCAGGACAGAATTAAGCCTTATTTAAAGAAACTGTATTTTGCATGGTGGCTTCATCAACTGTACCACAGCGTGGGTTTTTTTATATAATATGGAATCGCACAAGGGTGTGTGACGACACACAGTCGCACACATTTCTGCATAGTGATTATAGTGAGGCATATCATACCATTAACTTGGCTAAAAGGGTATCAAAAGCACTGAGAAATAAGGCAGATGTGAGCAGTTTCTGGGAGTGATGCATGTTAATGTGGCGCGGCTTAAAGATTTGGTTAACGTTTGTGCTTAATAAGGGAAACTAACTTTTTTTTTTTAAAGTCTTCCACCGTAATAGCTTTAAATTCGCATGGCTTGGTGAATTCCAGGTGCCGCAGACCCCTAAATTTAAATTATTCCTCCCTTTCAGCATATCTTACTCTTGAGAATGAGTCCTCCATGCACAAGACTTGGGCAAGGAAGGAGTAAGAGAGTATGGCATTGTAGCTTCTCAAATGGAGGAAGCTTCCTTCATGAATCTTCACAACCTTGACTGGGAACCAGCTGTACATTCATTTTCTGAAAGTGGTTGTTTCTGAAACTGACGTTGGAAGCTTTTTTTTTCCCCCTCTTTTTTTTTTTCTTTTTTTCCTTTTTTCCCCTGAGAGGAAAGCCCTTCAGTGTTTCAGTCAGTAACTTCCCATTTAGGAAAAAATTACTCAGGGAAGCTTCTTTCCGTACTTTAAGGTACTAATGGAGATGAATGATTCCCACTTCAGAGGCAAGTGTCCTGCATGGAAGGAATAAATATTACCCAGAAGTCCAGAATCCTAAGAGAAAACCACGCTCTTACCCCTATCCACTTTCCTCATTCCTTTTTCACCTTTTTAGTGATTCATATATATATATAAAAAAATGAAAAATAGTTTGGGGTAAAAAAACCCCTCCATCTGAATAGGCAATGTATATATGAGATATATGAGAAGTGGGTGCGCTTGTACGAAGTGTATCTGATAACGAAAGAGCTGCTCCTCTGTTCTCACAGTAAAGACTGAGGCTTACTGCTTCTTGGGGAGGTTTATCTTTTTTGTTTGGTTGGTTTATGTATACGTTTGGTCACTTGATCTACGCAGAATTCTGTATTTCTCACAACTAAATACAGGAAAGGTATGCCAATGTTGGGAGTGCTGCAGGAGCTTCAAAAGAACTGGTTTGCTTTGTTGATTTTGGAAGCGTGATGTTGCGCGCGTTATGGAAATTGTAATTGCTGCTGAATCCAGCGAAAGGTGTGACGCGCCGCTTCGTGTGTTTCCCGCCTTCTGTTATGTTCCATCTCATGTAGATTCAAAATTGTTCTTTTCTCTGCTACTGTTAAAGAAATGTACTGCTTTGTCATCAAACAAAAATGAGAATCAAATAAATACACTTTTCTTAACTTTGGTATTTGGTGATCATATTTGTAGCTGTAAGAATTCTTAAGATGAGCTCTTGCATGTGTCGTAGGAGATGATAGTCTGTTCCAACTAATCACGTCTTTGAATATATACTAATTTATTTAGGTGAATACAGAACCAAAATCCAAAGACTAAATCAAAGCGTTTGCCAACCAAACCAGCAGCTCTCAGAATAAGAGCATATGACAACAAATGCATTCATCCTGAGTCTGGCTAATTTCTGAAGAGAGGAATGCAAGCTTTTGTTTTTTGGTTTTTTTTTTTCCAAATAGTCCTTGAAGTGTAAATGAAAATAATTCATTTCTACACACAGTAAGACTTAAGGAAGTAAACACGGAGTTTTCTCTTTTAGATTTGGGTTACTTTATGCATGATGTTGGCAGTTCACTGTTTCTCAGACAACGGGTGTCAGAATGATTAGAATTCTAATGTAAAGTTGAAAACCAGCTATTTAAATTGATGGGTTTTAACCCCTCAGGAGGATGTTTTAACTGTAAAGCTATTGTTGAGGCTGGATTAAAGGTAGTGTGTGTGTTTGTGTGTGTGTATGCGTCAATACATTCATTTATATGCTTCCTTTGTAAGTATGGAAAGGTACGGAGAGTTCATGAGGCTCAAAAAAGTGAGGAAGTATCCTGATCTGACCCTTCCAGGGAATTCTGCAGCAGCATCAGGTTCCCAGTCCCAGTCGGGCCGAAACAGGAGTTTGGAACCCAGCATCTCAAACCAGGTTAACCTTGCGCACATGCGAAGGGGAACATGTGAACACTGTCACTAAAGCAGGGCTGCTTTTTAAATCAGTTGTGTATTTAAGTATGTCAAGTTGACCTGTGTTCTGCTTTACCGTGTTGAAGCCCTGCTTGACCTATTGTGTTTGATTCTTGCAGTTAAAACAAGTTAGGAGAGCTCTCCCGGTCCGCAGGCTGAAGATGCATCCTTCGAGGATATTGTGGTGCTCAGAAACTGCCATCTCTGGCTGATGGATGGAAAAGGACTCCGGCGTAACGCCCCGACTGTAATCAGGTCTTGGGTCATACACAGGCAGCCGAGCGTGGTACTGATCTTTATCACCTGGAGCAGGAGACCATTCTGCATTCAAATACCCGGTTTTGGCCTCTTGCCGCTGCATCGCTTGAGGCAGCCGGCGACTACCCTGCGGTTTGGGTGCACCGGACCCGTGGTTGCTCTGCCTGCAACACCTTCTCTACTCAGTGATGTTGGCTGGCCCAGCTCTCTGCTCTTCCGTCCTCTTACTATCTGGCCAAGGCAAGTGCCCTGTAATTAGGGAGTAATTCACAGGCTCATCCTGCCGGGATGCTTGGAATTCCTGGCTCTGTTGAGTCATCCTGTGATGTTTTGCCCTTGTCTTGCTAGCAGGCAGTTTAGAAAGGGGAGCTGTAGCTCTTCTGTCACCTTTTATTTATTTAGTTAGTTATTTCCCTCTCCCCTAGAAACAACTTTGCTCCTCTCTTTCATATTATGCCAATGGTCCTAGCTACAGTCTCTTTAAGAATTTTTCAGCTAAGCCCTGGAATTTCTGCCCTACTTTGCTGTAGAAGAAAGAGGCACTGTTGCCGGTAAGAAGGTATTAGTGTCCGTTGTCGATTATCGCTGGTTTTTAGGGCCAAAGCACAGTGTTCTGGATTACCATTTTTGAATGATGATGTGCAAGAGGTACGCTAGTTTGGTGTGAAATGGGACAGCGATGCTGTCTAATGCTTACATAATGTATTTACTATCAGGACTTTAATGTGCTCTGTAAATAATTATTTGAAGTCTAAAATACACGGGCGCATATTGCTCTGCCTCCAAAAGGTGTGAGAGCGGCAAAGGATCTCTCGGTGCTCTCAAAACCGATCATAAATAGTCCGTCATCCTCTGCGCTCCCCTTTTGTTCGTTCAGCTCTTGTGCCAAAGTGTGGGGGAACGATGGCTGATGTGCTGAAGTACAAAAGATGGAGGCACAGATATGAAGGTTGCTGTAGCTCTGCAGCTAAAAATGATGGGAACTGGTAAACCAAGGAGCACTGCCTAATTTCTGGACTCTTACTAATGTTGTGTTTATTTATAGAGGATAGAAATGCCCCTTTCAAAAACAAAAACCACCACTCCTTTACTTTTTGAAGAGCTCTGTCCCCAACATTTACTAAATTAAAGGACACTTTAATCCTTTGTCTCCCTTTGCTTACACCTGGAGGAAAATCCACGTAGTAAGGTTCCACGAGCAGGTGTACCTGATGTGGAAGCCGAACTTATTTTGAGGATAGAATGTACTACTCGTAATGCTAGCTGTGCTTATGTCTTCAGTATCACACCCCTCCCTACCCACAAGTACCTTTACATAAGTTCTTTTTAAAAACACACAGCATTGCTAGTTTTCTACAAATTTTTAGGAGGCAACTTCATGCATATTTACTCTCACGGAAAGAAAATGTCTTCTATTTATTATTCTATCTTACTTTGTACAAAGTAAATTGCAGGCAAAGATCTATATGCAGTGAATCAAGTAAGTATTGATTCTCTCGGCAACGTTAGTAATAATAGGAACCTATGGTCACAGCAGAGATGTCATTTTGCAAGAAGCATCTTTTTAGTTTGCATTAGACGCTTAATCGCTTTTATGTGCATCTCCTTCCAGAAGAAATGGCTTTCCAAACTCCTCGGGAAAGAATCTTAAATTCTTTTAGGAATGTGACAGTTTGCATCTATTTGGTCTTAACCACTTGTACATCAAGCTGTATAGAAACTTGTGGGCACAGTACTAGTCTGGACTCCAAACCTAAATGCGTGGCCTTGAGCACGCGTGGAACGACGCATTATCTACCAGCGAACCGCTGATGCCCACGGCAGCTACTCACAAGACGTGTCTGTGTATTTGCAGCGCGGGCACGTATTTTTATGACTCGAGTCTGAATGAAT